TGGCACGTGGGGCCCTGCAGCCGTGTCACTTGGGGTGCAGGGTGGCTCAGCACCCTGTCCCGGTGCTCCTGCCCCCACCCCACAGGCTCTTGTTTGAGATTATTATTAAAGCCAAATCAAAGCAGGGAGTCTGAGCAGGGGGGACCTGAAGAGCCCCCGAGGATCTTGGCATCATTTTAGGGAAGGGGAATGAAACGGTCCTGTTCCCCTGCCGGGGCACACGGGGTCAATGCGCCTGACGAACGGCACATCCCGCACCGGAACTGCCTGGTTTTGGGCACCACAAAGCCGGCCAAGGACCAGAGCCCTCTCTCTTACTCCCGTAAGAGCCTGGTGGCTGGTCTGGAGGAGGTACCCAGGCTCCCTCGGCTCGCAGGAGGGAGAGAAGAGCATCTCAAGGGATGACTCAAGCCCCTGAGATGGGGGCTGGAGCTAGCTGGACCCAGGTGCCCTCAGGAAAGAGAGGTCTCTTGAAGATACAGATGTGAGATACGGATTGAGATGTTGCCCCTTGCTTGGTGACACCCCAAGGAATCTTTGTGCCAGCCACCCCCTCGCATCCCACCAGCCCGCTCGTGCGTTGGCGATCGGTACCAGGCACGTCACGAGGGCTCGGCAGCAGACCGACGCCGGCTCTCCCCCTCTCATCGGTCATCCGTGATGAACCCCCGGCAGGTGACCCTCACCTAAGAGCAGGAACTTTCTGCTGTCCCCATAGAGCTGCTTCAAGTTGATGCAGAATTCGTGGATCGAAGCCCCGTTGCGATACTCGTGCAGGAGCATTGCGAACTGCTGGATCTCTTGGGAAGAGAGTTTCGTTCGGAGCTGCAAAAGAGAAGCACACCGCAAAGGTCACTGATCCTTTTTTTTTTTTAGGATGATGGGGAGCCTGGGAATGGCGTTTACTGGATTTCTTTCTGCAGTAATGAACCAGATTATCCCAACGGAAAAGCAGGACAGGCTGGTGGAACTCACGACTGAGCTGGCAACTTTCAAACAGGGACCGCGGCTCGTGAAGTGACGGACCTGGCGCGCCGTGGACAGCGTGACGTGCCCTAACGTGGTGAGAGGGGACAAGGGGGTGAGGACGCTCCCGCAGCAGAAAGATGCGAGCCAACGTTCGGGTCCCGTGAAGCATCCAAGCGCAATTTGTGTGAAAAAAAAGAGGAGGACGGGATGTTCCTGCACAGCATGGGCTCACGTTCTACACCTCGAGGCCGAATCCCAAGAGCATTCGAACACCGTAAAGGGAAGAAAACTCTTCCGCCCTGTCCTGCAACCTGAGGGCACCCTACCGTCATCATATAGTCCTGCAGGAGCTCTGTCGCCGTGGTGCTCAGCTCGCTCTCACTGACTGTCTTAACGTGCGGAGACTGTTGCGTGGAGAAGGAAGAGGGGGAGTTGTCACCTGCATCCAAGGTTTCTGGAAAGGAACTGAAATGCAAACAGATCGTGAATCCTCCAGAGCTCCCTGGGCACCTTCTGCGTCCCCGTCGCTGTCGGTCGCGGAATGGGAGAGCACGGAGGAGCGGAGAGGCACGTGGAGACGCGCTCTCTCTGCGCTAAGGCTGGCAGCCTTCCGCTCCCGAGAGCGTCCCACACAGCGCGGGGACTTTAACTCTATGGGTTTGGTGATGGGCTGAAAATGAAGCCCTGTGTGGAACAGTGCGAGGGGAAAAAAAAAAAAAAAATCTCAAAACGCCTTATTTTGGCATTAAACGTGAAATTTTTGAAGAGCATCAATCGATTTTAACAACTGGTTTGCGTGTCAGGTTTTCAGCCCACAAATGCTATTAAGGTTTTCAGTGGGAACAGGCTCAGGAGGGAAAAAGTTTCCAAAATAAAATGGTTTGGGAGGGAAAACATTTCTCCCAACTCCAGCTGGACTTCACCGAGGCAAAGCAGCCGGGCGAGCATCGTGTCCCCGCTTTGCTGACCATACATCACGTACGTGACCGTCTCCGGACAC